AAATTCCAGATTTTATGTAAATGTATATAGATTCGGACAATGTTCTTTTTTACAGCGCCATGATTCGGGCAAGACTGTCGTAGTCTGAATTGTGAGTGCGATTATATTGCAAGGCCGCTCCCACCCATAGGTCAACGTATTCTCACCAAAATGTTCGCTTCAAGAAAAATGTTATGTTAATCTTGTTTGAATGATTCCAGACTAATCAAATGTTTAACGTGCGATTCTAATATCGCAGGTCCCATAGTCCTGTAATGGATGCACTCTGTATTATATATTGAAGCTCACAGTAATATCATTTATGGGAAATGTTCATTGATGCTCCCAAAATAGAAATATGCGATTGAACAAAATGCTTCTAAGGGCGAAATATAAACAATATATTTTAAACATTGATTTTGAATATATACAGCCTACAATTGTTGAGATAACCCCTGAACATGAAATGGTTACATATTCTGTGTTACCATGCCACAGATTAAACATTGGTATTTAATTGAATTTAAGCTGTACTTATCCGGTTGCCTGAGAAACGAAATGCACAAATATGTATTGCCATATAGTCGTCTATTTGTTCTGTCTTCGAAATTATCATATCGAAATATGTCAATATAGGCCTACGTATATATATGGGTATTCTTCGTGTGTGTCAATATTTACATGATGGTCGGTGTGAATTTCGAATTTTGCACAGACGTGTAAACATTAAAGATGTTTACATTGTCAATTTTGTATACGCAGTTATTGTTTGGATGAAAATGACGGTATTTTCTTGGTCCTATTGGCGATGTGCTAATTTGCATAAATATGACTAAGGACAACACGAAACAGGTTTCAATTTCATTTACAACTTTTCAATATTAAAAATTTAGTTTGAAACTGTATACGTTTTGACATCCACTTGGCATTTAATTTGACATTAAAATTCAATTTTATCTCACTGATAAAACTTGTATTTCTTGATGAACTGACAAAAGGTATTGTGCAGATGATGATTATCATACACTGACTGAAAGATGTCACTCGGGCATTCTATATATGACAACGCACGGTCAACCTGCTCGATTACAAATTAATAAAATTACGAGGGGAATAAAAACATCCCCCAGATCCAAGTCTTGTTCTTTCCTTCCGATTAAAAAAAAAGCAGCACCGTTGGCCAGGAAATCCAGAAGGCTCTCAGGTGGTTATAGCCCCTTGAAAGTGTCGTCCAGGATGCGGAGTAGTCTGATAAGACGCGGTTGCGATGATGCCCTAACTGCTGCCTCAGCAAACACCCCCCCCCCCCTCCCCACCGCAAGCCTAGCTGCTCAGTCAAGCGTGGAGACGGTTCATGTCTTATTCACTACACTGGCTTCATCCTAGTTCCGCTTGACTGCATGCAATGCATAATAAGCTCCCTACGGCCTCCAAAAGAGGAGGCCATCGCGCAATACAGTGGGAAGCAAGACTAATTAAGAAACGAATTCCAAATTTAGGCAAAGAATCCCATAAAATATGACTGCATTAAGTTGGATCACAAATTCAATTGCAAATCGCATGACAAAGACTTTAAAATGAAACGTTGAATTACATTCAGTGTTCGATTTTCTTTTCTTTTTTTAATACGAAAAAAGTTAATTTAGCAACGCCAGGCTATAAATACGCATTATGAGTGATGGTGTCATAAAAATGGAAACAAAAACCAGGGCCCAATTAAAAAAAAATCCTAAAGATAATAAACTCTCAATGACGAATGCACGTAATAACGTTGACATTTGATAATGGTGTTGTAAAGCAATGTGTCCTCGTGTTCAGCACCCTGTGACGGGCGTAAAAGGACAAGGAGGCGTGGTGCAGCAGCTGCATCAAGTTAAAAATTATCGAAGTAAATGTCACATTGAGTTTGACTTTGTTGAGGTTATAATATTGGTGATCAATATTGGCTGACAACGAGTTTTAATATTAAAACCTTGAAAGAAGAAATGCATGTGACGGGCATGCATTAGTTTGAATGATTTTGAGATATACAGTATTGAAATCGACGAAATTGAAGTTTAGATTTAACAAGTGAAAGGTCTCAATTTGTTGAAGGTTTCATTGAGATTGTTTCAGTTTTCATTGCGCAAAATTGCCTGGTCGCCAAACACTGCTGCTGTTCTTGGAATGATGACGTCATAATAACAAGTGTTACTCACAATAATTAGACCGAGTTTAACAACAATTATTCATGAAGTATATGGAGTCAGGTTGACGCATTGGTTCGTTCCTCGCCTTCCACCTCTATGGCCCCGGTTCGATTCCTGCCCTGGTCCACATGTGCATTGGATTTCGATTCGATTCCATGGGTTTTCCCAAGAATATTGTTCTTGGGTTTTTCCTCCCACCTCTCAACTGTAATTTCTTCTCATCTTTCTCTCTATGGGTTTCTTTAGTCTTGCGAGCTACAGTGCCTATAGGTCGCTTTTAAGATAGTCTTAGTTTCATTTCCAGAAATGAAATAATAGTATCAATAATACACTGCAAAAACTGTATGTAGCAATTAGACACTTCTCTTAACACTCTCTTGCCATCAGTTTGTAAACATGTTTAAATACTATAAACATGTTTACTGTAAGGATGCATATAGTGTTTAGCAATTGAATATTGATGCTTAGGAAATCGGCAGATAATATTTAGCTTCTAAACATGTTTACAAAGTGATAGCAAGATTGTGTTTAATTGCTAAACACAGTTCTTAGAGTGTAAGATATGCTAAAATGTGCATACAACGCCATGAAGAAACCCAAGACCTGATAACATTTCGTTTGCCAATACTCAAAAAAGCAATTATATTGATAAGCATCAAATTGTTGCTCATGATGCAGAACTAGGAAAAGGCTCGTACCGCCGAACTATTATTTTCATCATAATTGACCACACAAACGAGTGAGTCTGCGGCGGTAATGCACAGAAAAAAACTATTATGTTGAAAAAAATCGGTGTTTTTATTAATAGCCTGGAGTCATTGTTTATACGCTGATCTAAGCTTCGGCATTTGTCAAGATTGAAGTGAAGTGTTTTCGCCGTAGACCTTGTGAATTTTAATGCGGGACATTTTCAACTCTTTATGTATTTCTTTTTTTAGAAAAAAAGTAGTCAAATTTCTGGAGTCCTAGTTTCCGTGACATGACGTCTTTATTTGTTCTAAAATGTCCAGACGTTTCTGTTTGATAGTTTCCACATTTTATTGTGAATATTTACTTAATGAAATACACTACCGTCAACATCTGGCTGTTTAGCTGAAAGTTATGTTTTCATACCCCCAAAAACATGCAATCTACTGTTTTGTGTCCAGTTTGTCACAAATACAATTTCGTTTTAGTCGTCCCTATTTCCAAACCAGAAAGATACGTACCGCCGGAGTTCATTATATTTACGAGTCCACGGCACTGAGCCACGAATTCTGAAAATAGATTATGTCGTTCTAACCAGCTTTGCATTTTGTTGCCATGGCAACAGTGGCAATTTCCCAGTAGTATAGACTGTGCATCCATGGAGCTTGTTCGTGCATTTTGTGACTAAAATGGATGAAAAAAAACACAGCAGAGCAAGTCATCTGTTAAATCTGTCGTTTCTGACGGAGGATTGATTGTTACATGACATTGAATTACTGAGTGTATGATACGAAAGGAAACGGATTTTATTCAAAGAAGAAGAATGGCGCTTTTTGTCTCGTCTGTACAGTATAATTGTCATCCTTCAGGCTTTGTTTATTACCTGCATTAAGTTGTCAAATTTGCAGAATCAAAATGGCGTCCGTCACCAATAAAGTCTGATGCCCTCGACCTGTGACCCATTTTGTATTGATCTGTGATGATGCCCTTTTGGGTACACGACATGACAACCAATTATGGTGTTATTATTGTCTTGCATGACAGCAGACTTTACCCAGCTTATTTGTTTCCAGTTATTTGTTGCCCACTTTGATTCGTTAATATTCAAACCTCGTCTTGCTTCTGCCATTTTCAAAGGTAGAGTCGCACCAGTCGTTTCTTCAGTTGATTTTCCCACGGTTGCTGTAATAACAGACTTGCACCAGTCGGTGTATTGCTGAGATAATCTATTTTTTCCCCCACCCGTCTATCAACAGTATTCAATAACCTAGATCCGTCGCTTAAAACCTGGCCGCCAGACGTGCTATCGATGTGTGATGAAATTAGAGCATGGATCTTGGAAAACATTACATGTTTCTAAAGATATTACTGACCTCCGTCACTGCCTCATTCCGTGGCCTCCTTCTCTTAGCCGTTGTCCTTGCAGGTTATTCCGTCCTTCCCTTGAGAGGCGTGAAATGTTCAAATGCTGCATCATTTGGGATTAAGGGCCTATGCCTTTTTTTCTTGAATTTAGTTTCGCTATGTTGATCTTCAATTCTTCTTATATAACGGGAGATATGTTATGTACAAAACACGTCGCGCAATCTCATATCACAGCGTGGTACAGCGCCCCCACCGATCACTAATATTTGTTGAGAAAGAAATATGACGTCAGACTTATTTATAACACCCTCAAATTAATCGCTGATGTATATGACTACAAATTTTCTTGAGTATTCTATCTGCATTTTGCCACTGTTTGAAAATTACATAAAACTGTTAAATCAATTCCCGAAGGGGGCACAATATATTGTGCATTTTTCGTTTTCCCCATTATCTTTGTCATAAGCTTCAACACAACTTTTTATTGAATTTCATCTCACACTAGTCATATAATAACCTAAAATCTCTTCTGTGATGATGTCAGTGTTTGCCTCTTATTCCACTCCCGTTGTGTACACACAGTTGTCATGGAACAAGTTTACTCACCACTTCTAAATACGATGACAAAAGAATTGTGTGTGTGCCCAAAATCCGCGGCCCAAATACAGGTCGGCTACACCTGTGACCCTATTGAAGGGGTCCTAGCACCACCAGGTACTTCGTCAATGCTGAATATAATCGACTAGTCAGGTACCCTGCCAAAAGACATCCATGATGCAGCATATTGGTGTTATTCAACTTTGATTATGCATTATTCCGGATCATTATTCTGAGTTCTGTACTCATCTGCTCACTTGAACTGGATTGCTTTCTTTGAACTTTGTGGTGTGTTTCTTCCATGTGCGAATCGTCTGATAGATAACTGCATTGAGGGTGCCGAACATCATTGAGTTTTGAATACTTATCCGTACCTAGCATCAACAGCGGTCATCCTGTATTACACGAGTGTATGCGGAGTCAACCATGAAGATACTTTCATTTCTGATGTAGCCCGGAAAAAAATTCGTCTACTCTTCATTTATTTTACCTATAATCAGATTCAGGGTTCAACATTTTGCTACCAGCCGGCACAGGTTTACCGCCACATTATTTTGGTAACTTCTTTACCAGATAATGCGCATGACTGTGGCAGAGCAGGACGATCTTGGAATTGGCAACATGTGAGAGGAAACAAAATCTCAGCAACTCGGATCAACTTGACTCACATCGCAAGACACCTATAGCATAATTGACCTTTCTGCTTCAGTATAGCATGAAAAATCTTTCAGAGATGGAGAAGGCGCTGAATTGCATCGCACTTTTGTCAAACATGTACTGTTAACTGAGACATCAAATTTGCGAGCTCTTTGTAGTACGATTTAGAACCTTTTTTTCTTGTATCAAGTGAAAACTGTCGAAAATAAAATGGTTCACGAGGAGGATACATCTGAGGTTGGGATCGGGAGTCTATGGGCGGCCGTCTTGGATTCGACTACACGGATCATGGCTGCAACAGTAGCTTCGTCTAGTGACCTCTCGTCCGATGAAGACTTACCTCCGTGAGTAGAAGTCCGCTTTACGGACAAATTTCCCCAGGGTCGCAGGCTATCGGTTCACATGGGGACCCCAGCAGCTTTGTCCCCGGTCAGAACCTCCAGTAATGCCCGGTCAGAGAATCCGTTTAATTATTTTGCATTGGCTCGTCTTTCCGAGCGGGCAATTCCCACCCAAAATGTCTGCTCGAAATAGAAAAAGGAAGCCGCACGGCAATTTTCCCGCGATTATTGAGTGAGAGATTTTGTTGGTAGGGTTCAGTCAAAGGACGAAGACATCAGATTCCTGTCCAAAGGGTGGCTACTTGAAGTCAATTATCTCTCTGGGATGCCGGTGAGGCTTGGTTTGTCATGACACTTACCGCTCTTCACTCACGTGGACAGCTTCTCTGCTTCCGATCGCAAAATTGTATTCACAGTTTTGTTTATTGCTTAAATCAAAATTAATGTCGAAACAATTCATCGAAACAACTACAGCGTGTTAAGCAGTTTCAACAGATAATTTTGGAGGAAAATTAGTGTCATATAGAATAGTGGTATAGGCAAAAAAAATCAATCAGGTGATTTTTAAATTTTCCCATCTGCTGAAAAAGAATTTTCAATGACGAATTGTGGAGCACCGTTTGAACAACACAGCCGTGCTTAAGTTTGAAATTAGAGTTCTTAAACCGCAGAACCACTGTCACCAAAAAACCTACCTTTGAACAATCTACCGCATTCTAACATGATGTTGTCACGAAAATAATCCTCTTTTAATCATAATTAATAAGCAAGGGTCCCGGAAAAAAAAGGAAGAGCGCCCTCATATATGGACGCAAGTATTGATTATGAAGCGCCTGCGCTAACGGGCGGCAAAACCTGTCATGTTTACTGCGTCTATATACTTTACCCACATCCCGTTAATGTGTACATTAATTCGTTAAAGAGCTCACCACTTACGTCTGTCTGTCTGTCGAACCTAAAAAGTGTGCACTTTAGGATGCGTGGAGGTACATATTAAAACAATGTCTGTACTTTTCCGCTGTGAAATTTCAGACCAGATTTTCTCATAAGATGGAATTTGCGTCGGGTGATGTATATTCAATATTGGTTTTTGCCCTTTCATGCATAAGGGCTGACACAGAAACACAAGCCAGAAATACAAATAATTTCACTTTTGAAAATTGCAAATTGCAATTGAATTTCTGTAATCTCTGCCACATAATCTGCAGATGTCGAGCAGCAGATGTATATATATATTGACAGGTAACAACTCCTCCGAGTTACAATTATTCAAGACAGAAGGAATAATTGATGGGATCGAATCTTTACTCGGACTATACTTGAACAATGGGCAGTGTCTGTAATTAGGTTCTGTAAAAACAGGTGTTCTCGCGTGAGGTTCTAGCCAGCCATTGCGTAAAGGTGACCAGAGCCTTGCGCCAAACACACACTTCTATAAATAGACCTTGTTGCGTGAAAGCACGTAATGCAATACGCTCCTCACCAAATTATATTCAAATTTTCCATGTTGTCATAATATGACGAGAAAGCTATTGTTTTTATGTTTCAAATACAACTGTCATGTATATTGTAGAAATTTGGGTTGCCGGGATGTCGTAGTTGACGGGCCAGACATAAAAACGAACTTTGACATTTGTGTAATATTCAACCGTGCAGGCTTATTCATTCGCCTTTGTTTTATTTCTCTAAAGAAACATTTTCGTAGTCGAACAGGATTTACAATTGGACTCTTTCAAAGCGAATTGCAATTTTCATGTTGTATTTATTTCTTATCAGAAGCCATTCTTTTAACCTTTGTCATCTCAGTTGCACTTTTGTTTTGTTTAGATCTTAATTTTCACAACTTAAAATCATTCAAAATGTTCCAACTTGTCACACAACTATAAAATAGATTGCAATTGATTATTTTTTGGTATTGATCTGCAAATGCTTGTCACGCAAAGCAATTGGATTAAAACACAGTGAATTTACAGCTCTTACGAGAAGAGACGTATCTGATATTGCATAATACTGGGTGCGAATAAAACAATTTCGGAAAGAATTTGAAATAAAAAAGTACCCGCTTAAAGGAATTTAAATTATAAACTATCGTGCAGCGATATCTTTCTCGTTCTTTCAGTTTATGCTTTAACGTAATGCACAGCACAGCTGACAAGAATTGTTTTGCACCGAGATAATTAAATGCTTGAAAGGTCATGATTTCATAAATAAGTTTGACTAAAATGAAAATATGAAGTGCTGCGAAACAATTCGTTTGCTACAACAATTCTAAATGGGTATTTCTGAAAGCGAATTTCTTGATAAGTTCTCGGCTTATACTCGTCTTGTTCCCTGTATGTATATTATAGTCGATCATTCTATTTATGGAGTTTGTGTTTTCCGGAATAAAAGGACGTTGTATGCCTACATTAATATTTATGATGCAAAGCGACTCTAGAACAGACATGTATATTGAACGCAAAAATCTAAAAATTAACTCAGTCCACATTATTGCCATATTGATGCATAACATGAACGCGACGTGTTCACCTCGTTCTTCAGTAGATAGCAAGTGGCTACCTACACCGTAGGATAACACACGCATATGGAAGTGTGATGGGTGTTACATATCTCGCCTCGCACCGCGGCAGTATGTTATTAATCCAGCCCGTGTGCATGGTGGCCCTATAGTGTTCTCAGCGATATTAACATAAAGGCAGGTTGTGTCTGATGCCTAGGCTGCAACCGCCAACATCGCATTACCATATTGACTGGATGAAGAAGATGATGATGATGATGTTGATGATGATGATGGTTCCACCCGCATAAATTTGCTTATAAATATGTATAGAGACTCTCGCATATTAGGTGCGCGCCTGTGAAATAATGGTGATATCACTGAACAGGGACATATATTGACGTAAAGGTTATAGGAAGGTAGGATATGTCATGTACGGCATCATGTTATGTATCGTTATGGTGTGGGCTGTGTGGACGGACAAACGATTGCTGGCAAATTGAAATGTAATTTACGCTCCGACCATGGCCGAAGGAATAACATACCAATAGAAGTCGCGCAGTTGACAGTGTGAAGTATGCGTATGTGTGGATTGCAGGACGGTCTCTGGATAATACAAAAGCAGAACACTATACTGCCGTGTTGAGCACACCGCGAGAAAACCCCGTGTGAATTATTATAATAAGACTGAAACATCTTGACACCTCCCCAGGCTATGCCGCCGCAGCATAAGCACATTTTGAAGTCTGTGCATGGCACCATCAACACGATGTGATGTATTACCCAAGATGACAATATCCAACTTTAGTCCTTCCTGGTTGGTAACTCTGCCCTCCTTATCGTCCCCATCTTCACTTTGATATCCACAGAATGGCCGCCCTCTCCTCAGGACCCACCTCACCGTTTTCCGATGCCTTGGATATAGCCGGCTTTGGAGGCGATGGCACATCGCCGGCACACACCGGGGCAGGTAAAGGGGGCAGCTCCGGGAAGAAGCACAAAGGACCTTCCGGCTTCTTTCTGTCCATCATGAGAAGCAATAGATCCTTGTTCATCTTCAGCGAGCAGAACTTCATCAGAAGATGTGCCAAGTGGTTGACAGAGTGGCCATATCCTTTTGATTGCAATTCATAATCTTAATTCCCAATGCTATAATGAGGGAATCAATGAAGCCCTGCGTTTACTTGGTAAGTAAAATCGAAAATTACAATCAAAGATAGGGTACTTGACATTTATTTTTTATGTAACTGGTAATCTTTCAACCCCATCTAATCCAGAATGGGAGAGTGACCTCATTGTCCACTTTTTATAATTCCTCCATTTGTCTATAATCTAGCTGGGTGTTATTTTGTTACTACTCTCTAAATTCCAAAGGCTGATATTAGGGACTAGACGTTTTAGAGTGAAAATCACTCTCATTTTTGATTGAAAAAGTCTGAAAAAGAACCACTTCTGTCGAAGCTCGAGTGAAAACTCGATCTTTAAGATTGAAGAAATTTCACTCTAAAACGTCTAGTCCCTAGTTTCCGACTGTGGGAGTGAATCTTCACTCGAATGGAGTGAATGTTCACTCTTTGGAATTCAGAGAGTATTGGAGATCCATTCAACCCGTGTCCTGACTATAATAATGCCAAAGAACCAAAAACGCATGCATGTACCATAATTTTCTGTACTCATAAAATTATATCTCGGGAATCATTTCAATTTGAGACAACCAAGACAATATGTGCCACGTGCCCTTTGAATATATCTTGAGATTTTTTTGCAGAGTTAACACAGCAGTACAGAAATATTGGTTAACGATTTGTGGAATCATATTTCGATATGAAAATGTTTGCGCCTATCAGTTTGTAACTTTTTTTACACTTGAAATGTGCATTATCAAGAAAAAATCCTTTTTTGGTCTCCAGTCAGATGTCTATTAAAGAGGCTTATGCCACTTAAAGACGGTTAGGCCTGTGGTTTTTAATATCAAACTTCTCTCAATAGCATCTTTAACTGCAGAATAGAGGTGTGCTACGTAGTGTTGTATTCTACATCAAAGGAGCATGGTACTAGACCTAATTGAAATTACAATGCAAATTTTTCAAAAGTAAACCTCAACTGAAAATGCAACCAAAACTGTGAGTTTCGTTTTCATTTTAATTTTTCACAACTCCCACTTTTAAATTTATGTTTCGTGCCAAGTATGAAACCTCTTACAATCAACATCCCCAATTGTTTGAAACATCAGTCTTTTCTGTTAATCAATATCGCCAGAAAGAAAACATATAATTGTGATCCATGAAAGATCTTGATCATGTTTCGAGAATCGAGACATGTTGCCATGAAGTTATAGAGATATTGTGTTGATATATCAATAACATCTGGTATTTCAACTCAAATATCATTTCTTTACAACTGTATTCATAATATTGACATGTGTGCGAGGTTAACAGTTGTAGTCAGCGTGCATCATTGATATCTATACCAAACTACAGCAGGACCATATTACAACAATAATTTGAACATGGTCTAAAATATGACATTTTTTATTAAATGAAACGTTTGTCAGAAATATCGCAGAATTTCGAACATATGTTATCCTGACGTGCCCAGTGCAGTTAGACTCCTCTCTTACGGGTTGGTTTTCCAGCGCTGTTTAGTAACTTTATCCGGTTGATAACTCACGTAATTTGCTTTCATGGACATCCATTATTACGGCAACCAAATAGTGTATAATATATTCAACATGTTCTGAACACACGTAGAAAAGTAATACTAGACAGCCGACAAGTATATCAGTTGAAAGGTCCATTTTTGGAGTTGGTTTTGAAAACTGGCATCAATTTAGGTCCTCAAGCATACGTTTAAAAAAGACAAATGTTAAAAGTTTGTAAAAGTTGAAGTGTAATCGATGGGTTACTTCTCTCCTATGCTACAAGAAAAGTAACCACACGTCGTAACAGAAAAAAAGGAAATTTATTCAATAAGATTTATTACTTGTATGAGATAGAAATTGATTGAAAAACTACGAATAAAGGGGCAAAACCTTGAAATCAAATCATTGCTTTTCTGCTTCAGCGCAGAAGTTACATTTTTTCCCCGTACATACACTTCTAATTTCTAAACACTGTTACATTTTTTCCAACTATTATTTTTGTCCTTCAAAATAACAGCATTAAATATAGAGAAAGTTATCGTGATGTTTGATATATATACACCTGTAAATATATATACCAGACAGGTTGAAGATCATGAAGAGAAAATATTATTCCAGAAATGCTCCGTCATAATGAAATTACTCCGAACAAATGTACAGGGTGTGACGTGTCTCAAAATATGTAGCAGTCTAACAACATTTTTTTTCAGAGGAAACTTAATCTGTTTAGGGGGTGTAAAAAAATTACCATGAGATGATAAGAGTGTTAAACACTGGACGGTGTTTTTTGTTCTGTGTGATTTGGACCTTTTGTTTAAAAGTTACAGCAAAGCTTGGAAAGACTGTCAGTATCTGTTTGGGCCACTTGTCAGATTTTCTGGTCTCTAATGAAAGGCATTCACACACGTTCTTGGTATTTGAATGCCTTTCATTTATAGATACCAGATAATCTGAAAAGTGGCCCAACTTGGAGTTCAAGTCCTTTCATTTAATTAGCTGTATATCTGGACTGGGGTGTCCAAATATAAATGAGATGGGAAAAAAGACCATTGTGCAGAGTATTTAGGCCCCAAAAAATAGTTCTGCTTCCGATTACATGGCATATCAAAATAGGGTAGGTAGGTAGGGAAATAATTTTTTTTTGCCAATTTTTTGTGTGTATGATCATATGGAGGCGTCTGCGGGTAGTCAAGGGTAAAAGGTAGAAATTGATGGTTTTTGGTGTGTTTTTTTCTCATTTTTCCAATAAAAAAATTAGGGTAGGGGCTGTCAGAATAGGGTAGGTAGGGAAACCGGAAGCAGAACTACATGTATTATTTTTTGTTTGGCCTTAGGTAGATTCTATAGATAAGTTTTGCAAAAAAGCGAGTGCTGGTGTTGTTAATATTCATGGATCGACTGCTACATTTTTATAGGCATACGCTTTACATGTTGTGCAACAGTCTAGACACATATGACAAAAAAGATTTTTAAAATTAGTGATGCAAGATTGTAAAATGGTACTGCATTCCAGTTGTCATTTTCCTCACGTTGTCCATACCAGTAGAAGTACTTACTGGCGAGGCCTTTCCGTAAAAAGTTATTCACTGGAAACTGATCATCATTTCATCTGACTTCGAATAATTAGAATGTACTGACCTTCCAGACGTGTGACTGCACTTCTCATACCAACGACATTGTCACCTTTAAATTAAAAAAAAATCCTTCAAACTTAATTTCGTTGTTTTAGGTTTGTAATTACACTTACTATAATTGTTTTTCTGACAAATAAATAAGCTCTTAACTAAACTATAAAACAACGTTTCAGATATTGTGGCAAGCATTATCTTCAAGAAACTTTCAGAGATACGTTAGGCCCTTTGTTTTTCATTCACTGTTGAAATGCAGTGACACATGTTTCTTTTATACTTTCGTACTGCTAGGTTGAAAACGATACAGGTTTTCCCAAAACAGTTCAGAGCTCGAAACGTTTTAAAAATATTCTAATTGACTTACAAAGACAGAAGGATGAATTATTGAGACAAAAATAATTATTATATTTCCATGCAAAGATGACATGAATTGTTATGGCAGGAAGGATATTTCCGTTCATAGATTAATTTATAGTAATATTTTGACCCTACGTTGCAATTAAGATAAGTGTGTTGTGACAAAAGGAAATGTCTCTTTAAAGTAAAGGAGTAAAGACTCGTCGAGTTGATTCTGAAAAAAAAAATACGCTTTCCAAAAAAGGGAAAGTAAGAAACCACACGATACGATCATTCAGTGCACTCAGTTGATTCGAACCGTTGCCACATGAAATTGCAAACAAAAGTAAGACTGCGCCAACTTGACTTCCTAGTGGGCGTGGTTAAAATAAATAGAGAAATAATGATTGGTCAAACACCTGTAATGGTTTGTGGGATACTCGTACCAAAGTCCTGGCATTCATGTTTGACTTTGAGTTGAATTGTAGTCATCTGAAATTCCGGTACCGAACTAATTATATAACGCAGTTAATAATTGCCGGTACAGACTCGACGTGTAGCTATATTAAACCTACGTCACGTACATGTACGTACGTCGAGGTCGTTTCATATCACCCACGAATACGTTCATCCATGCGGAAGGCATTTACCGATTTATTGTAGTTGTTTATTAAATAATGCCCCATTGTTTTTTGTTTTCACGTACAGAGGGACAATGGCCCACATATACTGGCACACCGATCGTTATGGAGATGTCCTCACACACATCACAGCTGTTTGTGTTTGGCATGGATTAGGTGTTTTTTGTCCTCGGGCGTTATTTTTTTTTCTTCTTCAAATTCGCATTCTGTCCAAACTTATAAGACTGTCATTTTGTCATATGATCGCTTTTGATTATTGACTCCAAATAGGCCTAGATGTATTTTGAATGAAATATTAATTTTTCCTGGCGTTAGTCAAAGACATTTTTTCTTAAAGACTGGCATTTTGACCCTAATTTCTCCATATTTAGTATATGTTTGTCCGTGTTTTCACTTTTTGTTTGCGTGCATATGCTAACACGCTCATAATATTTGTATGTTGTCATTTCATAATATTCATGCTTATTTGGTACTTTTATATTCTATTTACATTAAAACATTGACCAACGATATTGGAACTAAAGATATCAAGGATGTAATGTTCTATATTCGTCAGTATATTCGATGTATCTTACGGAAAGGAATTTGGAAAAGAATTGTCCATCACTTTGACAATATACAGTTATTTTCACACCAACAAAAAAGCTACAAGTAAATACCTGCCTGTCAGCTTTTGGTAACTTCAGTTTAACACGAGCGTTTAAAGACAAATATTGTGACCCTTTTGTCAACAAAAGGCTGAAGCAGTGAACACACAGAGATTCCGTCACAACGAACATCAGTGACATTTCGACTCAAAAACTCAGATGTTTCAAAAAGAATTCATCTGAACGCCCATTTGGGCCAAGTAAACAAAAATA